CCTCCGCCTCTGGGTTCAAGTGATTCTCCTGCTTCAGCCTCCTTAGTAGCTGGGATTACAGGTGTGCACCACCATGCCCGGCTAATTTTTGTATTTTTAGTAGAGACAAGGCTTCACCATGTTGGTTAGGCAGGTCTCGAACTCCTGACTTCATGATCCACCCGCCTCGGCCTCCCAAAGTCCTGGGATTACAGGCGTGAACCACTGCGCTCGGCCAGACGTGACACATTTGGAGTCTGAAGCAGGCTCTGCGTAAGACCCAGGTTCAAATCAGGGCTCTGCCTTTTTCTCATAGAGTGATGTTAGCTCTCTGTGCCTCAGTTTCCTCATCTGTACCAGGAGAACAATGCCAACACCTGTCCTGTCAGGTTGTTACGAGGACCAGCTGAGAGACTGTGTGTGTCGTACTCATCCCAGTGCCTGAGACAGAGTAATCAGTAATCATTCAGTAAATGGTGGCTGCCATCACTAGTATTATTATATCCTATTAGTACTTTTGTTAATTCCTCTCTCCAGTGATGGGAATTTTGTTTCTTTTCTCATTTATGCATTTATTTATTTTAGAGACAGGGTCTTGCTCTGACACGGAGGCTGGAGTGCAGTGGTGTGGTCATAGTTCACTACAGCCTCAACTTCCTAGACTCAAGTGATCCTCCCTCCTCAGCCTCCTGAGTGGCTGGAACTACAGGTGTGCACCACCACACCTGGCTAATTTTTATATTGTTTGTAGAGACAGGGGTCTCACTATGTTGCCCAGGCTGGTCTCGAACTCCTAGGCTTAAGCCATCCTCTTGCTTTGGCCTCCCAAGGTGCTTGGATTCCAGGCGTGATGGGAATTTTATTTTGGTCTTTCCGCTCATCCATATCTTTGTAATACTCCCGAGTGACTGAGAGTAACTGTTTTTCTTGCCCTCAGGCCAAGGGGGAAGGGGATGTTGAGCCAGGACCCCTCCCACCCAGCCCATCAGCATATCTGCCCCATGTTCTGGGGTCTTCCAGGCTGGAGTCTCTGACTCCAGAATGGGGCTCATGAGTGCAGAGGATGTAATACTAATAAGAATTAGGCCGGGCTTGGTGGTTTGAGGCTGTAATCCCAGAACTTTGGGAGGCTGAGGTGGGCAGATCACCTGAGGTTGGGAGTTCAAGACCAGCCTGACCAACACGGAGAAACCTCATCTCTACCAAATATACAAAATTAGCTGGGCACGGTAGTGCATGCCTGTAATCCCAGCTACTTGGGAGGCTGAGGCATAAGAATCACTTGAACCTAGGGGGCGGAGGTTGTGACGAGCAGAGATCGAGCCATTGCGCTCTAGCCTGGGCAACAAGAGCGAAACTCCATCTCAAAAAAAAAAAAAGAATGGTGACAAGCTCCAGCACTTACTGAAGGCTTATTCTGTGCCAGGAACTTGGGAGTGCCAGCCAGCAGCCCTGCAGGAGGCTGTGGGTACCACTGCCTCCTGCTGCTCAGATCCTGCTTGGTGCCAGCTTCTCAGACCTTCTCTGGCTGGCTGGGCACCCCTGGGTCATGGATCTCTGCCAAGTGGGGGGTGCTGGGAGAGCAGAGCTCACCGCAGGTCTACCCCACCTAGCTGTCACACCGACATGGGCCTCTGCAGAAAGAACCCAGTGTGCCCCACCAGCCCCCGAGTCCCAGGACCCTGGCACTCACTGTGCCTTGGTTACGGGGTGAATAATTTAGGCCGCTGAGTGTTGGTCATGAAATATTAAACAGCCTGTTCCTGATGCACAGCGTGTGAGTGTGCGTGGGGGTGACACTGGCACTGGGATGTGGAGGCTGGAGGTCACAAGCCAGCATGTTTCTGAAGATAAGTACGTGGCTGAGTCTTCTGTCTTCCTCATCTGTGTTGACAGGACCCCCTCTGGACCACCAGGCATGGTGCCTGCTCTCTGTACCACCATGAAGTGCCAGGCCCAGCATCAGCCCCATCAAATGGCAGCACTGTGTCTAGGGAGTGTAGAGGGAGGAGAAATCAGTGAGTGGGGGTCCGTGGGGGGCTGCAGATAGCCTTGGGGTCTCAGGAATCAGGGAAGTGGACACAGAACCAGGACTTTGGGGACAGGAAGATGCTGGCCGGGAGGGTCTCAGGATGTGTGTGAGAGGGAGGGAGAGGGCACACATGATGGGGAGCAGAAGAGGTCTAAGTCATGTTGGGAAGAGGGTGGATGGGCAAAGGGGGGGGTGGCCTGATGGACATTCATAGGCAGGGAACAAGTGGATGAGAGGTTGAATGGGTGAGCGAGGGGTAGACATGGGTTTGAGCATGTGGTTGATCTGGGGGCTGATAGACTGGGGGAGGTAGATGGGGAGGATGTGAATGTAGGGCTGAGGACCCCACAGGGTCTAGTGGCTCTTGCCCCAAGCCTGCCATACAGCAGGTATCTTTACGATACTGAACACTGCCACCTGGACCATGGGTTCCTGTCCTGGTATAACTGTTTTCCCTTAAATCATGCTCTGCACTGTCTGCCCCAGACATTCCTTCGACTATAATCTGCTCATTCCTTAATTCATGCTCTGCACTGTGTCTACTCTAGACATTCCTCTGATTGTGAACTAAGATACAGTTTTATATATATATATATATAGGGAAATAACTGAGTGGTAAGATATTCTTTAGGCACTCACTCTATGAACTAACATGATTATATAGAGAGGATTATATAAAGGGAAATAACTAAGTAGTGACACCGTAAACTGAGATATTCCCCAAGCCCTAATTCTATAAACCAATATAAGATTATATGAAGGATTATATAAAAGGAAATAACTGAGTAGTAACACTATAAACTAAGATATTCTTCAGGCCTTAATTGTGCCAGGATTCTGCCTTAGCTCGCCTTCCTCCGTACCTATATGGGGGGTTACCCACATGTGAAGTCCAGTGAAGAATTGCACCTCCTGGGCACAAAACGTGAATTGGAACACAATAGGACCCGGCACCCCCTCCCGCCCCCCCCCCCATATAGGTCTGGGGGTATGTTGTGGCTCCACCTAGTGTTCCCTAGTGGTAACTGCACCCTGGGCTGTTCACATCCAGCAGCGCAGCAGCCAGGACAGCTCTCCTGTTCCCCAGTTAGGCTCCCTCTGGGCTGGGAGAGCAAGGATAAGGGACAGTGATAGCCAGAAGCTAGGCCCTAGGAGAAGCCCCTGAGACATATTCCATCTCTTCACTCCCTGCATACCCATATTGCTGGCCAGGCCTTGCATCGCACAGACAGATGTGTGTTCAAATGCCACTTACCAGCTGTGTGACCAAGGAGAGAACTGAGTCTGTGCCTGTTGTGGGACTGTGGGGAATAGCAGAGAGTCTGGGCCTTCCAGTCCCACCTGTGAGCCTCCCCAGCTGCAGCTGCAGCATTAATTGAATTCTGATTCTGGCAGGTGCCCTGCCAGGTGCCTTACAGGTGTCATCTGTTGATGTGACCAGTAAATTAATAAAAATAGTTGATGGCTGAGTGCGGTGGTTCACACCTGTAATTCCAGTACTTTGGGAGGCCTGATCACTTGAGCTCAGGAGTTTGAGATCAGCCTGGAAAAAAAAAACATCTCTACTAAAAATACAAAAATTAGCTGGGCCTGGTGGCACATGCCTGTAGTCCCAGCTACTCAAAAGGCTGAGGCAGGAGAATCACTTGAACCTGGAAGGTGGAGGCTGCAGTGAGCCGAGATTGCACCACTGCACTCCAGCCTGGACGACAGAGCAAGACCCTGTCTCAAAAAAAAAAAAAAAAAATAGTTGACAATATGGCATTCACTGGGTACTTTACCATGGCAAGACACCATGCTAGCTCCAATTTCCCCTCCACAAAATGAGAATGACAATAGGACTTGAGAAGAACCTGGGCCAGGTGTACTGGCTCACCCCTGTAATCCCAACACTTTGGGAGCCGAAGCAGATGGATCACTTGAGGTCAGGAATTCCAGACCAGACTGGCCAACATGGCGAAACTGAGTTTCTACTAAAAATACAAAAATTAGCTGGGCGTGGTGGCACATTCCTGTAGTCCCAGATACTTGGGAGGCTGAGGCAGAAGAATGGCTTGAACCCGGGAGGTGGAGGTTGCAGTGAGCCGAGATCGCTCCATTGCACTCCAGCCTAGGTGACAGAGCAAGACTCTGTCTCAAAAAAATAAAAAAAGAGGAACCTGCCTGCTAGCGCCATGGCCGGGAGCTAGCGCAGCAGAAGCGTTCAGTACATGGCGGACATCCGGAAGGCTGCCAGATTAATAAAAACGGCAACAACAAAACCCAGGATGTTGGACTAGCTTTAAATCTCAGATAATGAGCTGTATTTTCGTACAAGTATGTCCCATGCAATATTTGAGATATAGAATACTAAAGCATTATTTGTTTATCTGAAATTCAGATTGAACTGGGTGAACTGTATTTTGTCTGGCAACCCTTACCACCCAGCCCTCGGGGAACTCAGTCTTCTCGCGGAGGCAAAGGTCAAAATCAGTTATGGTCAACCAAGCATGACAGGCCATGCACACACTGGCCCTGGGCAGTGTGGGGCAGAGGCCAGGAAGGGGAAAATAAATCAGGGTGGCTCTCATGGAGGAGTGTTGGGTTCTGAGTCTTCAAGAGGGAGGAAGATGGAAGGGCATTCCAGATGGAGGGGGCTCACTATGAAAGGGATAGAGGTCAGACAGCAGGTGTGAGGACTCACGGTGACAGTGGATGAGAGTGGTGGAGTAGAGGCCGGCTCACCACATCCTTGTAGACCTCGATTAAAAAGTAGGACTTAGGCAGGGCAGTGCTCCGTCGGACGCCCCCAGGGGCCTCTCAGGGAGGGTGGCACAGGACTCAGCCCAGAGGCACCTCCCAGGATGACAACGGGCGGGTGACAGAGCCCTCTCCCACCCACTCTCCGTGCGGTCCAGGGCTCCCTGGGAGAGGACCGGGGGTGAGGCGTAAGGAGGCCTCTGAGGGGGTGAGGCACTGAGAGCCCACCGTGGGCGCTCTTTCTCCACAGAGGAGTGAATGCCCAAACCAAGAACGGTGCCACGCCCCTGTACCTGGCGTGCCAGGAGGGCCACCTGGAGGTGACGCAGTACCTGGTGCAGGAGTGCGGCGCGGACCCGCACGCGCGCGCCCACGATGGCATGACCCCGCTGCATGCCGCGGCGCAGATGGGCCACAGCCCGGTCATCGTGTGGCTGGTGAGCTCCGGGCCCGGGCGGGGCGGAGCCTGCAGGGCGGGGCGTGGAGTGGGTGGGGAGGGGCGGCTCCATTAGGGATGGGGCGGGGCCTGGCGCCCAGTCCCCGCCCCTCTCCCCGCCCCTCCCGCTCAGGTGAGCTGCACCGACGTGAGCCTGTCAGAGCAGGACAAAGACGGCGCCACCGCCATGCACTTCGCGGCGAGCCGCGGTCACACCAAGGTGCTCAGCTGGCTACTGCTGCACGGCGGGGAGATCTCGGCCGACCTTTGGGGCGGGACCCCTCTGCACGACGCCGCTGAGAACGGGGAGCTGGAGGTCAGCGCGGGCCCGGGGTGGGGGCGCGCGCCCTCTGCCGGCACTGCGCTCTCTGCAGTACCCTGCCGGGGCGCGGGGTTCTCGGTTCGCGGCTGTGGCCGGGTCCTCACTGCATGCCCCCACAGTGCTGCCAGATCCTGGTAGTGAACGGCGCGGAGCTGGACGTCCGCGACCGCGACGGGTACACGGCCGCCGACCTGTCGGACTTCAACGGCCACAGCCACTGCACCCGCTACCTGCGCACGGTGGAGAACCTGGTATGGCCACTGCGCTGCTCCTGTCGCATTATCTCTTCTCGTCCCCTACCCCAGTGGTGGTGTCGTCACCCCTTTTACCAAGGAGGAAGCTGAGGTTCAGGGACCCCACACGACCTCTCAGCCCAGAACCATTGCCTTCTGGGGACTGAGGGAGTAGAGGCACAAAGGTTAACAGAAAGAGGACAGGGAAGAACCGGGTCACCTCAAGGGGTAAGGCTGGAGAAATCACAACATACGCCCCACTGGGAACAGTAAGGCTCATTCACTGCCCATAGACATTAGCTTGGATATAAGTCACAGCCACCCTCTGCAGAAGAGGGTGTAAGTGTCCCATTCCACAGATGGATAAACTGAGTCTGTGGGGCACCAAGATCACATCACCAATAAATGGTAGAGTGGAGAACCTGCCTCCGATGGCCATGGCATCTGTACATTTGCTGACCTCATGGCTGCTTCATAACTGGAAATCTACGCTACTCTTTTTAAATTACTTTATTATAGTGAGACAGCCATGAAGTGACCCATTGGGGTTTGATCTCAGCTGTGGGTGTCTCGAAGTGCAGGGCGCTGCACCATCTGGTACAATACCTGCTTTGAGGCAATGGGCAGGAAAGAGAGTGGGCCTCGCAGGAGACCACACAAGGATGTGGACCAGCTCCTGGCCATGGAGGGGCTGCGAGTGAGGGCCGGAGGGGAGGAGGCAGATGGTTCGTGCTCTGAGCAGCATCTATCCATCTGCCCTGCCTGTCAGCACAGGGGAATGGTCCAGACTCTGGGGGCTGCAGAAAACAGCAAGGCCCAGAGGCCAGAGGCTGCAGGTGGGCCTGAGGATGAACTTCCCCCAAGAAAGAGTCTTCGGAAGAGAATGAGTGTCACTGTGGTATACAAGCAGAATGGACACTAGGAAGGGCATTTCTACATCCATGGCGAGTTCCCTTGAGCTAAAAGAGTCTGTGACTCTCTTGAGGGACTGTGGGGGGGGGTGGCATCAGAGCCCAGGGCATGTGAGGGCCTCCCTGGGTGCAGCTGCTAGCAGTCATAGAACAGCAAACACCATTCATTAGATTCTGACTTAGGCAGGTACCCTGCCAAGTGCCTTAAAGGTGTCATCTCAGTTACTCTTTACAGTACAGGCTCATGCCTATAATCACTGCACTTTAGGAGGCTGAGAGGCGGGCAGATCACCTGAGGTCAGGAGTTCCAGACTAGCCTGACCAACGTGGAGAAACCCCACCTCTACTAAAAATATGAAATTAGCCGGGTGTGGTGAGGCATGCCTGTAGTCCCAGCTACTTGGGAGGCTGAGGCAGTAGAATCACCTGAACCTGGGAGTCGGAGGTTGTGGTGAGCCAAGATCATGCCATTGTGCTCCAGCCTGAACAACAAGAGCAAAACTCTCTCAAAAAAAAAAAATAATAATAATAGTTGACAGGCCGGGCACAGTGGCTCATGCCTGTAATACCTGCACTTTGGGAGGCCAAGGCTGATGGATCACCTGAGGTCAGGAGCTTGAGACCAGCCTGGCCAACATGATGAAACCCCATCTCTACTAAATGTACAAAAATTAGCTGGGCGTGGTGGTGACCGTCTTTAATCCCAACTATTCGGGAGGTTGAGGCAGGAAAATCGCTTGAACCCAGGAGGTGGAGTTTGCAGTGAGCCGAGATTGCACCACCGAAATCCAGTCTGGGCAACAAGAATGAGACTCTGTCTCAAAAAAAAAAAAAAATATATATATATATATATATATATATTTGACAATATGGCGTGTACTGGGTGCCATGTCCTGAGTTCAGCAGGACTGGTAGTGCCCTTATCCCCATTTGCAGATAAAGAAACTTAGGCACAATGCGTAGGTGACCCGGGATGACACAGCTAGTAAGTGAGGGAGGGGAAGTTTGAAGCCACTGTCCCAGGCTGCAGAGCTGGAATCCCAGCCTCTTATCTGCTGCCCATGGGGGTCAGGGCTGGGTACCCTCTGCACCTATTGCTGTTGGCCAGGTAAAAAGCACCTTTGGGTGCTTCCCAAGCCACCTTCTGTGGCTCCCCCTGACTCCTGGAGTAGGCAGCAGGGCCTGGTCCCCTCACCCAAGCAGGCCCAGCTGCGGCAGTGACAGATCCAAGCCACGGAAGATGCTGGCCCAGAAAAGGCAAACACTCCCGCAGAGCCCCTAATTACAGGGCCAATGAGCGTGGCCGCCGAGCTGTTACCTGGTGCCAGGCCTGCCTCTCTCTCCCAGGGGGCCTGTGACACTTCTTAGGCAGGGAGGGGGCACGGGGCAAGGAGGCGCAGGCCTGGGCAGGAGGCAGCGGAGCAAGCAGGCTTGTCGGCAGCTGGGGCAGCATGGGCAATGTAAGCAGGACCCCCACCCCCGCCCCCTCTGCACCGGGAGGGGACAGGCCTGTGGTTAGACGCATAGACCGGGTGGGGCGAGGGTAATGGCAGCCTGCCCATCCCCAATCAGCTGACCATCCAGGCCCCACCCCTACCCTAAGGGCTCCATTAGGAGACAGGCCGGTCTGGTGTTAGGAGTCTGCCCCAGGTCCCAGGTTGGGCCAGGAGAGCCAGCTTGGTAGCCAGGTAAGTGGAGGTGGGCCTGTGCTGTGCCCCTCCCCACAGAACCATTGGAGCCAAGGCCCTCTGCCCATCTGCCAATCTGCTGATTGTGGACAGAAGGCCAATCTCCTGGCAGTTCTCCCCTTGGGGTGCAGCCCAAGGCCCCCTCCTCATCAATCTCTCCACTCTCCTAATCAGGGAGGAGCCAGCAGAGGGAGTTTCCCAGGAACCCGGTCCTGCTGCCTGGCGGGGCTGGGCTCAAATCTTAACCTGGAGGAAGCTGAGACCCACTAGTGATGGGGAAGGGACTAGTGATGGGGAAGGGGCCCTGGAGAGAGGTGTGGCTTGGCCAAGATCCCACAGCAAAGGCATGGCTGAGGGTGACCTTGGCCTGGAGGGCGACCTGTCTTGGGGTGCACTGGCCCTCATGGCCTCCCTGCCTCCCCTTCAGAGCGTGGAGCACCGTGTGCTGTCCCGGGATCCCTCTGCTGAGCTGGAGGTGAAGCAGCTGGACTCAGGCATGTCCTCACCCAACACCACCGTGTCGGTCCAGCCGCTGAACTTTGACCTCAGCTCACCGGCCAGCACCCTCTCCAACTACGACTCCTGTTCCTCCAGCCACTCCAGCATCAAAGGCCAGTGCCCTCCTCGCAGTGAGTGTGCCCTGGAGGTAGAGGGGGAGGGAGGGGAGACCGAAGCCAGACTACTGGGCCATGAGAGCTGGCCTTGGGCCGCCTGCCACAGCCAGTATCGGAGTTTTACCCCCATTGCCTGCTCTTAAACATGGGGAGGAGACCCCTTCTGGTGAGAGACAGATGTCACTCATGCTTATGTGTGCTTATCACAAACATACATGTACATCCACATGTACTCTCCCCACCCACAAAATCCACGTGTCCCACCCACCATTCATTATTCTCAGCTACTCACACACAAAAGTGCACACTTGTACATACAACATGCAGATATGAGCATACACAAAGAGCCGTGCAAAATCTGCACATACCCACCTTATGCACAAGCACACGATGCTCTATTTCCATACTCCAGATGCACACACACACAACCGTGTCCACAGAGCAACGCACATACATTCAAACATCCACAGACACGCAATCATCTAGGCAGAAGGCGGGTAAGTGTTTACACATACCCTGACCACGCCCTGGGCATGGGCGTCCGTCCACTTGCAGTGCCTGCTTCATGCCGACAGATGGTGGCCTGCAGAGCCGACAGGGGTGCCCTGCAAAGATTGGGTGTGGCAGTCCATATTCCCAAGGAGCCCACTGACCCTTCCAGGTGGCCCTGCCCTCTAGACACCCCCAAAGCCCCCAGTGCTTCCCCTCCAAACCAGAGTGCCTGGTTTTCCAAGTAAGTGCTGGGCTGGGGCAGGGCAGGGCAAGAGAGAGGAAACCCAGCACTGTCAAGGGCCACAGCAGGTGTAACAAGTGGTGCCCCAGAGACCTCCATGTCCCTCAGCAAGTTGTTTCCAGGTGGCAGATTTTCCGTCTTGGGGGACAGCCTGGCTGCATGCTCCCAAATCTGGCTCTTCCTCCTGCCTCCCCAGGGCTTTCCAGCGCCAGAGCTGCAGACATACAGAGCTACATGGACATGCTGAACCCGGAGCTGGGTCTGCCTCGGGGCACGACTGGCAAACCCACACCCCCACCACCCCCACCCAGCTTCCCCCCACCACCCCCGCCCCCAGGCACCCAACTACCCCCACCCCCACCTGGCTACCCCGCTCCCAAGCCTCCTGTGGGACCACAGGCAGCTGACATCTACATGCAGACCAAGATCAAACTCCGCCACGTGGAGACAGAGGCCCTCAAGAAGGAGGTAGTGAGACCTCACCCCTGCCTGCCTCCCAGCAGGGGGATGGGCTCATGGGGGCCTCTGAGGCCAAAGGCCTGGCCTCATAGCGGACATAGGGTGGGGGTCCCTCTGTCCATGGCATGTTCAAGAGTCAAAGCTCCTGGCGATTCCCACTGGGGATCAGGGCTGGACACTGGACCAGGAGGAGAGTAAGACCAGGTTGCCACCCTCCATGGGAGCTGGGAAGTGAAAGACGCAGGTCCAGACAGCTGTGCCTCACCAGGAACTGGGCCTGTGCCACCTCTTGCACAGAGTGGCCGGGTTGTCATGGAGTTAACAGAGAATGCATATAGACTGCCCCTCCCCAAACACGCACATCCCCACAGCCCTGGGCTCTGTTGGAGTGGTACCCAAGGGAGGTGGTTGCCAGGTGGAGGCTGCCGATGGCATGCCTGTGAAGGGGAGGGCTGGGAGGAGGGTGGAGGGAAGATGAGCGGGCACTAGCAGGGTCGGGTGCCCACTGGCAGTGGGGGCTGGGAAGGAGGGGAAGCTGCAGCCAGTTCCAGTTTAGGGCTTGGGCTCTGTGCAGAGAGGATCAGGCCTGAGGTGGGAGCCCCAGAGGGAAGTGAGCCTGTGTGGAGGGGATGAGGCCAGGGTGGGCAGATGGAATGTAAGACACCTAGTGACGTCTGGGCCTGCAGGCCCCTGGCGGAGGCTCTGGAGCAGGGCTGGGGGCAAAGGTCTGGTCTGAGCAATTTTGGAAATTTGGGAAACTCTGGCGTTCTGGCCACAGGAACATGGCAAGACTGGTCTGAGAGGTGAGGGGACAGCCTGAGGTCGCAGGTGGCCAGATGTGGTGTGACAGCCCCCTGGGGTCCTGCTGGAGCTTGGGACCTTGCAGTTCTCCCTTAAGCCCAAGGCAAGCCACACCAGGGCCAGTTTATACGAGGTGACCCAGGTCACAAGGCCACTGGGCAAGGGAGACATGGGAGGGACACTGAACTTCCAGGACAGCTCTATCCACCACCCTCTTTATGCCACCTTAGATCAAGCTACCACAGTGGCTTCCCCTTTCATCTCTGGGAGGTAGAGAGGGCTGGCCAGGTAGGGCTGCGAGTGCCCTGGAATCCCTGAGCTCCCAGCCCAGCTTGTGGGCCCCACCCAAAGCCAGGGGACAGGTGGCCCAGCCAGTGTCCCCTCTCCACCGCTGAGCTCAAGTGCTGGGTCTGTGTGCGTCCCTCCTGGCTGTGTGCGTGCTGGGCCGCAGGCACCAGGGCCGGGCCCCGATGCTCCACAAAGGGCTCTTTGTGTGACCACGGCGCCCCCAGCGCGGGTGCCTGACCGCGGGCGGGAGCAGGGCCGTGGCGTCCGAGCCTCCGGGCTGCAGGGGGCGCGGAGCGGGCGGTCTGGCCCAGAAAACAAACCCGCGGTGTCGCGTTTCCTGCAACGTGAGCCAGGTCGGGAGGGGTGGAGGGTCTGAGGCCACCGCCGGGACGCACGGGCTGGAGGGTGGAGCAGGGGACAGCCCCCACCAGGTCACTCCGTCTTGGGCCAGGCCGCCTCGCTCTCGCTGAACTGGGCCTAGTGGGAGGCAGCTGCGACAGGGCGGGAAGCCTCGCTGTCACCCGACCCCGTCTTGCGGCCCCTGAAACCCGAGGCTTGAGCGCGGGTGTCGGTGTCGCTTTCGTGGATGGCGATGGTTTCCAGATGCAGGAGGGGAAGGGTGGGGACGCGACCCGGAGCCCCCTCTGCCCACAGTCAGCCCTCTCCTGTCTCGGGCAGGGATGAAGGTGGGGACTTAGCTCCCAGTTTAGGGAGAGGCGCAGGGGGCGGGGCCACATCTGGGCGGGGGCGGGCGCGGAGAGGCGGCCAGGTGTGGCAGAGTAGTTGGCGCCCGGTAGCATCCGCGACGGCCGAGGGGTTCGGCCTGGGATTGGCGGGCCCCAGGTGATGTCAGGCCTTCGGAGCCCGTAGGCGGGCCGTGCGCGGGCGGCGTGGGCCGCTGTAACCTGAGCGGAAGGATCAGGTAACGCAGGTGTCCGGTCCTGCCTCCCCCACCGCCAGGTGCACAGCGGGGGCCACCAGCACCGTGGCAGGTAGGAGCAGCCCCCGACGGGCACCTGGGGTCCGGGGCAAGCCGGAGCCTCGGAGGGCACAGGCTCTGTAGGGAGCTCCCGCCGAGCTGGGATTCCCGACAGACCCGCAGTCCGTCTGTCAGCCGAGAGCGGGGATGTGGGCAAGGCACTAATGCGGATTAAGCTGGGAGGTGCCCCTTCTCCAGCTCCCCCTGGCGTCGGGGCTGAGCCACCCCGCCCCTGGGCCCGCCCCTTCTGGCCTCTGTGGGGGCCCCTGTGCCCCTTGGCCGGCTCCCAGAACCTCTCCCTTTAAGGCGGGCGGAGCCTGCCCTTCCATCGAGACCCCCATGACCCTCGCCCTGTGTCCGCCCTGAGAACAGGGGGTCTAGGAAGGCAGCCGCCGCACCCCTTGAAGGCCGCTGGCCGCGAGTCCCTGGGAGGTGAAAAGCTGGGTGGGGAGGCGTGGGGGGCGCCTACCGGGCAGGTGCCCGAAGCCCACCGGCCACTGTCTTCCCGCAGCCGAGCTCCTGCGACGGCCACGACGGGCTGCGGAGGCAGGACTCCGGCCGCAAGCCCCGCGCCTTCAGCAAGCAGCCCAGCACGGGGGACTACTACCGGCAGCTGGGCCGCGGCCCCGGGGAGACGCTGGCCGCACGCCCGGGCATGGCGCACAGCGAAGAGGTGCGTGCCCGCCAGCCCGCGCCCGTCGGCTGCCGGCGCCCGGGCCCTGCAGCCCGCGGCTCACTCGAAGGCCCCTCCGCTCCCCCGCAGGCGGCGTTGCTCCCCGGGAACCACGTTCCTAATGGCTGCGCCGCGGACCCTAAGGCGTCCAGGGAGCTACCGCCGCCGCCCCCGCCGCCGCCGCCGCCCCTGCCCGAGGCCGCGAGTTCACTGCCGCCCGCCCCACCTCTGCCCCTCGAGGGCGCTGGCCCTGGCTGCGGGCAGCGCCGCTCCTCCTCGTCCACCGGCAGTGAGTAGGGGCGGGTTGAGGGGTGGGGGGCGGCGCTAGCCCTGAAAGGGGAGGGAAATCTAGACACCGCCCCCTCCCCTGCTGCCACTGCCCCGTCCTTCTTGCTCTTCCTGCCAGCCCCTACCCCATTGAGTACTTGATCCTAAAGAGAGGGCTCTGAGTTGTTTGAAGTCCTGCCAGAGCAGGATGGGCTGTGTGGCCTGGGGCAAGTCCCCTGCCGCCTCTTGGCCTTCCTCCCCTTGGCCTGCCTCCCAACGGCTAGAAAGGGCCTCCCAGCTCTGGCGACTGGCATTTGGGATGAGCTGGTGCTGGAGGGACACTTGAAGTAGAACCAGCTTCAGAGAGGCCCCCGCTGGCCGCTGGTCCTCTGCCCCTGTCTGTGCTGAGCCTCTCTTCCTCTCCCCACCTCTTTCTCTTGTCCTTCCAAGTAGCACAGACCTGAGCCCTTCTTAGATATGCCAAGAACTCATTTTAGCCAGTTCCTGCCAGGGTCCCTGGGCCAGCAAGTGCCTGGCTATGGGGGCAAAGCTAGTGACCCACCATGTTTTCCCCTCCCTCCCCAGTGGCTTCCCTAGGCATCCTTTTTGCTCGAACTCCCAACCTCAAGGTGATCAACCTGGGCCTCCCAAAGTGCTGGGATTACAGGTGTGAGCCACCACACCCAGCCCCAGGCATCCTTTTTTTAAGAGCTAGATTGGTGCAGGATTCCTGGGCTGCTTCTCTGTAGGGTGGAACAGTGTCCCTCTGCCAGGCCACCTAGAAGGGCCAGGACAGGGTGGCTGGGTGTGATGCTCCCATCCCAGCTTGGCTGGGGTGCTTTCCTCACCCAGCCACTCGGGGCAGAGATCATGCTTAGTGGCACCCCCCTAAAGCTTCCTCTCCCTGACTAGGAGTGCAGAGCAGAGCTGGGCCCCCCAGAGTTCCTATGTAGTCCCAGCCCCTGCAGACTGGAGCGCGTGGAGCTGTGCCCAGCACCTGCCCAGCCCCCTCCTCCCTCCCTCCACAGCCTGCAGCAGGACTGAAGCTAAGGACAGAGAAAAACATACTCTGAGCTTCTCCTGACACCCCCACCCAGCACAGCCCAGGCTGGGTGCCCTATCCCAACCCAGTGCCAAAGTGGAGGCCCTTGCTAGGGGCTAGGGCCAGTGGTGGCCCTGCCAGCCCTCAGCAGCACCCGCCAAGCCAGGAACTCAATGGACCACCCTCGTGGGGCCCCAGAGCAGCCTGAGCCAGAGTCAGATGGGCAGCAAAGCTCCTCCTCTCTTCTCTGCTTCCCCCCTCCTGCTCTCCCTGGCCCGCTCCCTGTCCCCTGCTGTCCCAGTCTCATCCTGGCCCCCTCTCCCTCCTAACTCTGCTGTCACTTCTCTCCTCTCCGTTCCTAGAAGTGAGAGTCCTGAGACACAGGAAGAGTGAGTAGCTGCGCGCGGCTCCTGGCTGAGGCTGAAGCGTGGGATGGGGGGAAGAGCAGGAAAAGCAAGCAGGAGGGGCCCAGACTCGAGGAAAGGGCAGGGGCAGGGACTAGCAGGTCAGAGAACCTTGAGACACAGGTGGGGCCTTGCACCTCCTACCTATGCTCATACCCACATATGCACCCAAGCATTCTGTGCCTGGCTGATGGTTTTGCCTAAATAAATGAGCCAGCCACACTGATTTTCCCTTCCTCCTCCTCTTCTCCTCCCTGTGACTGTACTCTGGAATCCCCAGCCTGGGAATCCAAGAGCTGTCAGCCCATTTTGTTCCGCCCTCCTAGACCTGACCCCTTCCTGGTGGTCAAGAGACCTTTCTCTCTTTGAAATCACTATTCACCTTTTCCACCTGAGCCGGAAAATGCAAACTCTGCCCTGGGGATTTGCATGTTATCCGCCTGCCCTTCTTCCTGGGTGCCTCCCGTAGCTTTAGTAAGGGCTCTGCTTTCCTGGGCCTCTAGAGCTGAGCTGCGCTTTGCCATAAATGTGCTCCTGGCTTGCAGCCAGTGTGTCTGCTTGTGCGTCTGTCTGTGGGTGTGGGAGAGAGAGGGGGGACCAGCTGGGTATTGGCACTCCAGGGTCCAGACTCTGTATGTCCTTGGAGGTGCCAGTTGACTTAGTTCAAGGGTCACTGAGGCTTTGCTGATGTAGGAACAGGGTCAGAGGGAGGCTCCACCCCAGCTGGGCTGAGCCAGGGAACCTGGTACAAAGGTCGGATGACTGACTCCAGGTAGTGTTTTAGAGCTGGACAGTCAGTGTCTGGGTGGAAACATATGCTAGAGTCGGGAGGGCCAGCCCAGGAGCCACCATGAATTCCCAGGGGCCTCCAGGCGGGGGCCCTCCACCCCGTGAGTAAGATGGGGAACCAAGGGCCGGGCTCTGCCGGCCCTTAAAGCTGCCTGCGGGACTTGGGATCTGGAGAGCTGCCTGCTGGGCCTGAGGATGGGCACCCAGCCTATCCTGGCTTGGAAAGGGGGCTGCAGAGGGGCGGCTGAGGAGTGGCGGGGGTGCAGCCCTACCCTGGCCAGTCCTCATCTCCTGCCTCCACATAGGCACCAAGTCTTTCAACATGATGTCCCCGACGGGCGACAACTCGGAGCTACTCGCTGAGATTAAGGCAGGCAAGAGCCTGAAGCCGACACCGCAGAGCAAGGGGCTGACCACAGTGTTCTCAGGCAGCGGGCAGCCGGCCTCCCAGGTAGGCAGGCCCGGCAGGAGCCTGCGACCCGGGTCCCCTGGCCCCAGGCCACTGGGCGCTCAGCCCCACCGCTTCTCCCTGCAGCCCGACTCAACGCTGCCGCCTGTGTCACCTACACCGTCACCAGCCCGGAGCCCCACACCGCCAGCTGCAGGTTTTCAGCCGCTGCTCAATGGAAGCTTGGTTCCGGTGCCACCTGCTACCCCTGCGCCCGGTGTGCAGCTGGACGTGGAGGCGCTCATCCCTACCCACGATGAGCAGGGCCGGCCCATCCCCGAGTGGAAGCGCCAGGTGATGGTGCGCAAGCTGCAGCTGAAGATGCAGGAGGAAGAGGAGCAGAGGCGGAAGGTGGGTGGGGCGGGCCCAGGGAGCCCTGGGGTCTGCATTCGGATGCACAGCCCATCCCCCATGCCACCTCCAACTTGGGACCTCCCATTTTTTTTTCTTTTTTATTTTTGTTATTATTTTTTTGAATTGGAGTCTCACTCTATCACCCAAACTGGAGTGCAGTGGTATGATCTTGGTTCACTGCAACCTCTGCCTCCTGGTTTCAAGAGATTCTCCTGCCTCAGCTTCCTGGATAGCTGGGAGTACAGACACATGCCACCACACCCAGCTAATTTTTAAATATTTTTAGTAGAGATGGGTCTTCACCATGTTGGCCAGGCTGGTCTTAAACTCCTGACCTCAGGTGATGCCCCCGCCTCAACCTCCCAAAGTGCTGGGATTACAGGTGTGAGCCACCGAGCCTGGCCACTTCGGGGAAAGCAGGGTGACAGGACCCCTATTTGGGGCTTGTCCCAGTCTCCAAACACACCCCCAGCAGCCTGTCCTTGGAAGTGAGACAGCAGCCTTTCTCAGACTCTCCTTCCCCTGCCTAGCCCCTGGGAGCTGGTTAAAAGGCCTTTTTGGATTCCGGCGGTCTGGGCGGGGCTGAGGCTCTGCATTTCCAGCCAGCTCCTGGGTGAGACTGCTGATGACGCTGGTCCAGGGACCACACTGAATAGCCAAGAGGGCTTTGGTCTCGGTCTTAGGGACCTGGGCTCTATCGCTGCGCTGATGCCTTCCAGCTGCCAACACTGAACTTCATCCAGCCTGTTTCCTTCTCTGTAAGGTGGGCTGATGAGCACCAGCCAGCAGGATGAGTTGTCTTTTATTCATTCTACAGCTGTTCCACCAGTGCCATTTCTTTTTATTTTTGGTTTTGTTTTCTTTTTTGTTGTTGTTGTTGTTGTTGTTTTTGAGAGAAGCTCACTCTGTCAGTGAGGCTAGAGTACAGTGGTGCAATCTCTGCTCACTGAAACCTCCGCCTTCCAGGTTCAAGCGATTCTCCCACCTCAGCCTCCTGAGTAGCTGGGACTACAGGTGCATGCCATCATGCCCAGCTAATTTTTGTATTTGTAGTACAGACGGGGTTTCTCCATGTTGGCCAGGCTGGTCTCGAACTCCTGACTTCAAGTGATCCACCTGCCTTGGCCTTCCACAGTGCTGGGATTACAGGCATGAGCCACCGCGCTTGGCTCCCGAGTACCGTTTATGTGTCCCACACACTGTTATAGCCTCTGGGGATTCATGGTGAACATATCAAGGCCTGCTCAAAGGTGGCTGTGGACATGTGTGCAAGTCACCAAGAACTCAAAATGGGGCAGTGTGGGAGAGTGGGTGGTGGTGGAGAGAAGTCCCTGGGCTGATGCCACACAGCCAGCTGCAATAATGGGGAACTCGGGGGACTGGGGCAGCCCTAACCGGCCACCTGATACGTGGGCTGGGGGCTGTGTTAGGGAAAGAGAAGGTGATGACTAAGTGAGACGTGGCAGATAAGCGAGGAGTGGCCAGGAAGAGAGTGGGCTGAAGAGCAGCAGGCCGGACAGGGCAGTCTGGAAGTGAAGGTGGATGTGACGCTGATTCCTGGGGGAAGGGAGTTGCTGAGCTGGAGGGGAAGGTGGGGGCCAGGTTACCAAGGCCTGGCCAGCAGCACAGAGGAGAATGGACTTTCTCCTGGAGGAGTGGGGAGCCGAGTGGGAGGAGTGTTAAGCAGGGAAGAGGTGGCTTCCTATTTGTATGTGGGGACTGGATCCCATAGGTTCAAAATGAATTGGAGCCTCTGTGGAGATGACCACAGGTCCTGGGGGGAAACTGGACTTCAGAGGAGGAGAAAAGTGAGCAAATGAGAATATATGATGCCCAGCTGTCCAGCAGGACGAAGGGTGGGTGGCTCAGTGGAAGCTACAGCTGTAGCCTCTTTTTTTTTTTTTTTAAACCGGCCTGTAGCCTCTTTAAGAGTGGAGTGGCCTCGGTCTGGCGCGGTGGCTCACGCCTATAATCCCAGCACTTTGGGAGGCTGAGGCGGGTGGATCACGAGGTCAAGAGATCCAGACCATCCTGGTCAACGAGGTGAAACCCCGTCTCTACTAAAAATACAAAAATTAGCTGGGTATGGTGGTGGGTGCCTGTAGTCCCAGCTACTCGGGAGGCTGAGGCAGGAGAATTGCTTGAACCCAGAAGGCGGAAATTGCGGTGAGCCGAGATCGTGCCATTGCACTCCAGTCTGGGTAACAACAGCGAAACTCCATCTCAAAAAAAAAAAAAAAAAAAAAAAAAAAAAAAAAAAAAAAAAGTGGAGTGGCCTCCCATTCTGCACTTAAAACATTGCCCACAGGGACCAGGAAGGCTTGGGCCACAGGGGAGCTTGAGAAGGGTCGCAGGTCTGGGAGGAGAGGCCTCACAATAGCTGCTATCTGACGGATTGGGAAGGGCCACCGCGCCTCCAGCTTCAAGGCCTTTTGCATGTTCCTTGGGTGGTGTAATGAGCGACCATCCCAGGCGTGGAGACCCCGTCTGCCGCCGCAACAGCGACCAACGACCGGCCGTGGCCCTAGCCAGCGACCAAAGTGGACACTGCAAGAGCCCGGAGCGGCGGCCGGGGCTGAAGCCTCGCCCCAGCGTCACCCCCTCGCCGGCCAGACGCGGCCCCTCCCTGCAGACGCAGCCCGGCGGAGCCATTACACCACCTAGGACGTGCAAAAGGTTCCCGGCGCAACGGCGGGAGCAGGGCCAGAGGCAGACGCGCCTCCCTCCCCTCTTTTGTCTTCCCCGCCTTAGCTGACCGCCGCCAGCTCATGCTGCTACCCCCGCGAGGGCTGGAGGTACTCACGCGAGTACAACGCCATCCTCGGGCCCTTCGGCGAGCTCATGACCGAGGCCGACATCCTCCGCATCGAGCAGCAAATCGAGAATCTGCAGGTGCTGCACAAGGCGAAGAAGCTGGAGGAGCGCCTGGAGCAGCTGGAGCTGGAGCTGGAGCAGCTGCTGCCCGTCTCAGCCGCCCTGTCGGCGCCGCGCTTCACCGTCGATCCGCGCCGCATGCACGGCCGCGCCGTCAGCCTGCCCGCCTGGTGCAGCAAGATTTCCACGCTGCTCAAGAGCATGGCCACGCTGCTGGCCACGCTGGGCGGCCGGCCCGCGCACCTGGCGGAGCTGCTGACAGCCGACACGGGCCAGCCCCTGGCGCCGCTGCCCGACGCGCCCTGGCGGCCCGGGCCGCAGTGTCTGGGCCGCTCGCATTCCCTCAGCTGGTGCCGCGAGGCCGTGGCGCGCGAGATCCTCGAGTGCGGCGTTTCGGTGAAGCATCTCCGCGCCACCTACGAGCTGCGCGCGCAAGGCGCGGCGCCCGCGCGCTGTCCGCGCCACAAGCCCCCGCAGTCCGCGGGCGCCCCGGGCCGTGAGCCCATCCTAGAGGAGGACTACGTGGCAGCCGGCTCCAGCCAGCCCAGCGCGGTCGCTGCCGACGCCGCCGCTCACGGCCCGCTGACCGACTGGGAGCCCCTGGGCACCCTGGGCCCTCCCGAGGCGCAGGATCGCCAGGCGGCGCTGCCTGAGCCCGAGGAGCTGGCGCGCCGGCCACCCCTCTGCACCGAGCTGGGCGGCGTCCAGGACTACCTCGACCTGCGTAAGGAGCGCATCGTCTACCTCTTCCTGGAGCACTGGCGCCGCTGGGCCTTTCGCGGCCCGGGCCGCCGCGCCCAGGCGCGCCTACGCAGACTGCTGCCCCGCGTGGTGGCCGCCGGTGACGGCCCGGGGCTGGAGGCCACGGACGCCACAGATGACCCCCGGCCACCGGCGAGCAACGGCGTGGCCCGCGGCCCCGGTGAGCGGCTGCGGCAGCTGCTGAGGCAGCGGCAGGCGGTGGGCAAGCTGCTGGGCCACTGGCGGAGCCTGCTGCGGCGCGTGCCGGCAAGCCCAGGGCTGGCGCACGGCTTGTACTGGCCCCAGCACTTCCTGCCACCCTTGGACGGCGGCGCACCGCCTAGCTACGACAGCCTCACGCTCGACCTCTTCATGCTCGGCTACTTCCAGCTGCTGGAGATGGGCCTGAGCCGCGAGGAGCGCAAGTTCCGCCACCTGCTGTGCTACGAGATGTTCGACCGGCTGGGCAGCCACCCGTGGGAGCGCATCCGCCTCTTCCATCGTGTGGTGCTGGAGGAAGTGGAGGTCGGCCGGCGCAGCTGGAGCGATGGCTTCGAGGACCTCAGGCACAGGTTCTTCGGAGACGGCCTGGAGGCTGAGCTGGCCCCCGAAGAACAGACGAAGAAAAAGGAAGAGGAGGAGAAAGAACAGGAGCGGACGGAAGAAGCCGCCCCAGTTGAGATTGGTGACCCGCCCAAGGGGCAGCCCGAGGCCCCGGCCGCTGCCCCGCAGCGGCCACCCCCGCCCGCCGCGCCTCCCCCGATCTCAGACTCTCCTGGATCTGAAGGCCCCACCGAAGACCCCTTGGAACTGGTGTCTGAGATGGGCGAGTTCAGCAACGAGGACATCTGCCGCTACATCGACCGCAGCTTCTCCTTCTGGAAGGAGAAGGAGGCAGAGCTATTTGACATCTGAGCGGCGGAATTTGGAATTCACAGTTCACCCTCGAGCATCTTAACCTGTGCCTGGATGTCTGTCTGACGCCCTCCGGAGGCCGGCAGCAGCAGGAAGAACCCGGGATGGTGACCTTGAACCGCCCAGAGGGCCCAGGACCAGGCTGCCTCAGCCTCTGAGGTCCCATCATGGGGGGTTGGCCAGATAGACAGGTCATGCACGAAACAAACCAGGTGTCCCCCTCTGAGACCCTGGCCTTGCTGGGCTCTGTGTGCAGCCAGGCAGCAAAAGAAGCCCCTCTGAGTGAGGGCTGCGGGTCCCCCTTGCAGCAGTGTGGTCTGCTCTCCGGTTTTCCACTGCAGTTCACAGCTACCTCCTTGGCTGAGGTCAAGGAAGCCGCGTGTGCAGTGTTGTCTGTGAAGTGTGCAGTGTACAGACCTTCTGTTCTCCTGTAACATTCAGGAAATAAAACTCTTTGCTGTAAACTGCCTACATTGGACACCACACCTGCCCCCGATGTCATTGCAGCCCCATGATTGTAGAGCAGGTGTTCACTCCATTGAGAAGAGGGCAAGCATGAGCAAGGTCCTTTGCAGGGGAGCCATGGGCAGCCTGAGTCTCCCTGAGCCAAGAGGGTGGTGGGGGCCCACATCTGCGTCTGCCCAGAGGTCCTGGGCCTGGGGCCATCTGTCCACCTGCCCGTTCGGAATCAGGCTCTGGACCTCTGGGTTCCAGCTACTTACTCTATTTCTGTCCCACTCAGCTCTGATCTCTCTGGCGCCCCCTGTTGGACATGAGGGTCTGGGTTACTAGGGGAGAGGAGGCCGGCTCTGAGGGGGCTGTGACCAGGCACCTCCATCCACCTGCCCCACAGAAGTGCTTCAAAAGGGTCTCTTCCTGTGACCCTGCCTCCTTCAGGTCCCCAGGTTGAGGGTGCCCCCTATCTCGCAGCCCCTGCAGGCCCTGAAGCTTTGTGGTTGTGTTTCAGGAGGAGGAGGAGGAGGCCCGGCTGGCCAGCATGCCCGCCTGGAGGCGGGACCTCCTGCGGAAGAAGCTGGAAGAGGAGAGGTGAGCTGGGGGTCAAGCAGAGGCTGGCCTGGCAGGGGGTCCTGACTGCATCCCTGAGGTGGAGGTACCTAGTGACACTGTCTCTTTTTTCTTCCAGGGAGCAGAAACGGTGAGTGCAGGGCTGGCATCAACCTGCCACCCTTAGCCCCACCCACATCGCAGAGGGTCGTCCCTTCATCCAGACTGACTTGAGCGCATCCTCCTAGCCCTCAGCCCTTGTAGCACAGCCTCTTTCCTCCCTGCAATGTCCCGACCCCTGTCCCCAGAATCTCTCTCTCGTGCTCTGATAACTTTGCTCCTGGTTACTCAGTCCCTGCCTCCTACTAACCTGGTTTTTTCTATCCATCAGTTAACCTAACCCTAGTATCAATCACCTTGATTGTCTGCTGCTCAGAACGTAGTTTCTGCCTCTAGTAATCTCACCCAGCCCAGTGCTGTCCGATAGAAATACAACGTGAGTCACATATGTAATTTAAAATTTTCTATTAGCCACAGTAGAATATAGGTGAGCTTAGTTTTCTTAGTTTTATCTAACACAAAATATCAAAACTTTTATTTCAACATATAATAATATGAAAATTATTGAGACGTTTTACACCCCTCTTGTAAGTCTTTGGCCAGGCATCGTGGCTTACACCTGTAATCTCAGCACTTTTTTTTTTTTTTGAGACGGAGTTTCGCTCTTGTTACCCAGGCTGGAGTGCAATGGCGCGATCTTGGCTCACCGCAACCCCCACCTCCTGGGTTCAGGCAATCTCCTGCCTCAGCCTCCCGAGTAGCTGGGATTACAGGCACGCGCCACCGTGCCCAGCTATTTTTTTGTATTTTTAATAGAGACGGGGTTTCACCATGTTGACCAGAATGGTCTCAATCTCTTGACCTCGTGATCCACCCGTCTTGGCCTCCCAAAGTGCTGGGATTACAGGCTTGAGCCACCGCGCCCGGCCCAATCTCAGCACTTTTGAGAGGCTGAGGCTGGAGGACCACTTGAGCCCAGAAGTTTGAGACCAGCCTGGGCAATGCAGTGAAACCTGATTCTGCAAACAATTTTTTTTGAGACAGAGTTTTACTCTTGTCACCCAGTCTAGAAAGCAGTGGGGATCTTGGCTCACTGCAACCTCCACCTCCAGGGTTCAAGCGATTCTCCAGCCTCAGCCTCCCAAGTAGCTGGGATTACAGGCGCCTACCACCAAACCCAGCTAATTTTTGTATTTTTAGTAAAGGTGGGGTTTCGCCATGTTGGTAAGGCTGGTCTTGAACTCCTGACCTCAGGTGATCCACCCTCCTTGGCCTTCCAAAGTGCTAGGATTACAGGCATGAGCCACTGTACCTGGCCTGCAAAAAAAAAAAAAAAATGTTTTTAGACTGGGCGTGGTGGCTCACGCCTGTAATCCCAGCACTTTGGGAGGCCAGGGCGGGTGGATCACAAGGTCAACAGATCAAGACCATCCTGGTCAACATGATCAAACCCCGTCTCTACTGAAAATACAAAAAATTAGCTGGGCATGGTGGCGTGTGCCTGTAATCCCAGCTACTCAGGAGGCTGAGGCAGGAGAATTGCCTGAACCCAGGAGGCAGAGGTTGCAGTGAGCAGAGATCAGGCCATTGCACTCCAGCCTGGGTAACAAGAGTGAAACTCTGTCTCAAAAAAAAAAAAAAAAAATGTTTTTAATTAGCTGGGTGTAGTGGCACACACCAGTGGTCCCAACTACTTGGGATGCTGAGGTGGGAGGATTACTTGAGCCCTAATCTCACCACTGCACTCTACCCTGGCAACAGAGCGAGACCCTGTCTCAAATAATAATAATAATAATAAAACTTAGTCTTTGAAATATCATGCACAATTTACCCCTGCAATCCATCACAATTTAGACCAGCTACATTTCAAATGCTCAGCAGCCACACGTGTTTAGTGGCTGTTCTGTCAACAGGTGCATCTACCCTCTATGTTCTCATAACCTGGCTCTAATTCTCAGTCGTTGTTTCTCAATTATATGGTCTCTCTGCTCCCTAGCAGCCCCACCCCAGTCCTCAGTAATTCATATGGACAGCTCCCCAACAACTCAAGTCCTGGCCCCGTCATCTTGCCGCTGTACTCTGCCACACCTTCTCCTCACATGGTGCCACCCAGTGACCCAGCAGCTTTGTTTCCAGAAACATCCCAGCCCACAATAATCCAGCCTCAGCCTCCCACTCCCGCAGCTCCCCTGTGCTCCAGTAACCCCATTCTGCCCCCGATCTAGCCCCTCTGTCTTCAGCAACCCAGCCCCCACCCGCAGTAACCCACTCCTTCCGTGGGTGACCTGGCCTCTGCCTGGGGCCTGGCCCACCCTTTCTGTCAGCCCCGGTATGTGGCCCCAGACTTCACCGGGTCTGCCCCCACCCCCACCCTCAGGAAAGAAGAGGAGCGACAGAAGCAGGAGGAGATGCAGCGGGAGAAGGAGCAGTCAGAGAAGTTGCGGACGCTGGGCTACGATGAGAGCAAGCTGGCACCCTGGCAGCGACAGGTCATCCTGAAGAAGGGGGACATCGCTAAGTACTAGAAACCAGGCCTCTTGCCCGAAGCCTGGCAGCTCCGAGGGGCCCCCCTGCCCCAACCCTAGCCAGCCAGTCCCTGGTGGAAGGGCTGGGAGCTGCACAGCCCTCCCTTCCTGCACTGGAAACCCTCCCTGACCCCCCACCCTGGCCCCTGCATCCCCAGCCCTCGGCGACACTGGAGTGCACCCACCGCCCCGGTCGCCCAGCAAAAGTGCCCAAGCTGCTGATGCAAACAACAAAAAAATGCTGCTTATTTGCATGCAACTTACATATGTTTGCATGTTCGTTGAACATCAAAGAGTGCAGAGCTCTCCCCAGCCCCTTGGATGGTGACTCTGTTTTCCTGCGGAGCTCAGCCCCCTCCAGGATGCAGCCCCCTCCCCCGCACCCCGGAACCGGCGTCGCTGGCGCATCCTGGGTGGAGGCAGGCCCCGAGCTCGGGGAAGGGGTTTTCCCTCACTCCCTGACCCAGATCTATACCGGCCCAGCCGTCATTTCTAATCCCCGCCGAGGGTTTCCTCTCAGTCATTTGTTTACCAGAAACGACGAAAACTGCCTGTCTGCCGGGCCGCAGTTGCGGCTCCCAGGACCCCACTCTGCCCCACCTCCCTCAAGTCTGCGCTCATCCCCAGCCAGGCCCCCTCTCTTCCCAGACCCTGTCACTGTCCCGGTAGAGTGAATAGAGGAGGAGGAGGGGGCCCGACCCTGTGTCTCCAGCTGCTGCACCCCACTCCGACCCTGTCCCTGCCACCTCACAGCCCCATTAAAGCGCTCTCATCCGCCCAGGGCTCCCGCTCACTCACTGGCTGTGGCTGCGACTTGCTCTCTTCTTCTCAGGGTAATTGGGCCAGAGTGGACTCGGGAGGGGCAGGCTTGGGAGCTAAGGCCACAATGGACTCCACCATGGGTGCCAGACCCAGGGGTAATAAGATTCCCGACCCCTTCGACTCCCCCAGGAAAACAAGTCCAGGTCACTTAACACCCCCAGCCCCGCAGAAACGCCAAGAAGTCGCTTTTTTTCCCCCACAGATTTAATACCACGATCTCAGCCAAACTCTGGCCAAGAAACAGAAATCTCTTGACCCCCTCCCGACATTGGTTTGTGCTTCTTCACCTTGGATGAAGCGATAGGGGCGAGCAGGGGAGGGGCCGGCTGGTGCTGCTACGCAGGGCCGTGCCAGTGGCTTAATAAGTGACATAAAATGTCTACACTCATAAGTAACCGTACTTAGGGCTTCTGCAAGGGCCACCAGAGCATCTGGGTGGCGAGTGGGCGCCGTGTCAGGGGCCGCGCTGCAGGCGGCTGCGCAAGTCCTCTGCACAGCCGTCCAGCCCCATGCGCTCCAGGGCCGCGTAGATGGCGCCCAGGCCCGCGGGCTGTTGCTGGCGCCAGCGTTTGAGCATCTCGTACTGCTGGTCTCGGAAGCGGCCGATCTCCACCTCCACGGCTTCGATCTCCGCCTCGCGCAGCCCCAGCGTGCGCACGAACTCCTTCCACCGCCGCGCTGGGACCGCGTCCATCACGTCATAGAGCTGCGGGCCGGGCTGCAGCATTACTGCTGGCGAGCCCGCTGAGGACTCCGGCGAGAGCGTGGGCACAGGAGCGGGGCCTGGGGCAGGGCCAGAGAGAGTCAATGGGGTATGTGGGCTGCGGTCTGTAGGCGGAGTCAGGGGCGTTCGTGCGGGTACCCTAGGCCAGAAGCCCGCTGGATCCCACCGGTCAGGACACAGAGGATGGACCCGGTCAGTTAGGGGGTGGAAAGTGGACATGTTGTGAAACCACAGCTTCCTGTCCCAGACAGGAGAATGAGGTCAAGGCCTCGGGCCACTGACATCCCTTACCAAGAGCTCTGTTGGGCAACTGGTCCCAGGACCATGT